ACGAGGGTTGTGAAAATAATTCGACGGAAATCACCGGAATAATGAGTTCGTTTGACGGGGTCACCAGATGTAGTAGCTTGATCTTCGCACTACCTTGCAACCCTCTAATTAACAGCCCAAGACAACTCGAGTAGAATGGAGAAGAGACGAGAGCGGACACGACTGGTTTATTGATGTCAAAACAACCAAGTGACTTTTTCTGCGTATGAGTACGCGCGCGTAACAGACGAATGCTGACAAAAATCAATAACAAAAGGGGATGAGTCATCGCTACACACGGGCCTTCATGCACGCACACTCGCGCGGGGCGGCTGTCAGTCCACTACACACCCATGCACAAATGCCTCTCTTTCACATCATGATGATTTCAGTCAACACCACAAGTAGTGCAGACACGCGATAACAATCAACCTTCAGATGAAGTTGTGGTCTGGGCAACTGTACACAAGACCCCAAGTGCATTCGAGAGTGACGAATGTGTAGAGTTTAATTTAAAGCAGCAGGAGTATCTCCATGCTGCAAGGTGGCGGATTTATGAGATCTTTCAAATGCAACGTCACAAACACTTTGGCAATCAGCAGGAATGCTTTCCGATATACATAGCCTGCCATCGTAAAGACCTGAGTTCGGACTTAATGCAAAGCCAAACGGTGACATGTGGAAACAAAATCTGCACACTCATTTATAAGCCCTTGTCATGAATAGCACGTAGCCAATTCCACCGCAACTAACAAAGTTTTTCAAGCATGTGCATCCAATGTGTCGCTAGTTCTGTCCTCGTTCTGGAAATCAACAGTGCCACGGTGAAACTATGACACTTAATAAGGCACCGAAATCCCTCGTATTCATAACTCCATTCGGCGCCTACTCATTTTGCAAGACTTCGTGCCAAATGATTCGCGGACATTGGGGGTGCTAGTCTATTACTTATTAAATTATAGATACTGCTAAATGCAGCAGTACAGCAGCCGGACCAATCCTACCTGAACTCCAATTTTACCATGATCGAAGTGGGATTTCACGCGGTGATTTACTTAAGCGCCAAACTGGATTTTGATGATGATGTACAACTTGTCCCGACGACAATAACAACTCCTTCACTTTGAAGATGCAAACAGTGACTGTGGAATATGCAACTTATTTCCAGTAGCTGTGGAACTACCTATGTTCCACTCCGAGCCGAATTTTTAATACCAGAGCCCTAGTATAACCAAGACTGGTGTCACAGAGCAAGCTAAGACTAATAAGAAGACATAGCACTCCATTAGGCACCACTAATTATAACGTGCTTCTGATCCAATATGGCTGCCCATCTGCAGGTCACCACACGATGCATACACAAACTTCGAAAGTTCAAAATGTGGCAAATTGATGCAGCGGATTGAATCGGGATGGATGTAAAGAAAGATGCTAGTGGATAATGTACGCTGTGTTGGTAAAAAGAACAGTGTCTTTTGAGAGAAAGAGGAGATTGCGAGTGAGGTATGGAAAGTCATCGGGAGGCTGGAGTGCACACCGGCGGAATGGCAAGAGCAACATTTTGCTACGTTTGTATCGTGTATGCGTAGAAAGACTGGTAATAGTATCACTGGGGGGAGTTGAAGGAGCTACCCTCCACTTTTAGACCCTAGAAATATCCCGAGAACAATCCCCGCTTTTGGTGTCCTCCTCCACTTTCTCCTCCTCGTCATCCGCAGCGACGAATTCCGCTATGTACTGCAACAAATTGTTTACAGATATGTGTTGGGTGTATATAAGTAGCTGTACGTCTTCAAATGTCATCCACCGAAACTGCAGGATGATTCCTAGCATTTGTTCCTTTAGGCTCTCTGACGTCCCTTCAAGCTGCTTCGTGGATCTACGGCGAGTCGCGTAGACACCTAGTATATCCTCCAGGACATTCCTCAGAGTAGACACTCTACTCGCGTCAGACAAACCTAGTCGATCTAGAAATAAAAACAAACAAACAAACAGTAAATATTTTTTACACAATTGGTATTCTCTGAAGTACTATTTATGAAGTTGGCTTACAGGGATTAGCGATGAGTGAGGCGGCCAAGATGGCGACTTCGACATCGTCAACTTGGAGTTGGTAAAGTTTGATGGCTATAAAGCGTATAGCCGAGGAAAATGGGTCAGACGATGTACTAATTCGAGGGTAAGCTTTGCTCTGTACTTCTGGAACTGTGAACAACCCGCCGTTTTCCATCACTTTCCCACCGCACTTTCGACGTAGTATGAGAGACAGCGTATGGGCAGCTCTCAACATCAGAATGTCTACGGTGGCGCAACGGAGAAGATGCATCTGGTCCAGGGAATCAAGCTAAAGACAAACAATGACTTCCTGTTACTACCATTCAGGCAATTCGCTTGCGTTTTACTGGCATTGAAATTCTGCCTTACTAGAGAAAATCCAGGCAGTTGAATTGCAAATCCCACCAGACGAAGAATAATTTTATTTTGTACCGACTGGAGCTGTTCCATAATTTTCGATTCAAAGCTACCTGTCGTATCACCCAGAGGTTGGTCTTCACTCTAAAGTGGAAATTGACTCGGATGAGAAACACGGCGAGATAATTTAGCTCGTCAAGTGAGGTACATGGACCGATGACGTAGACAACTGATTTTAATAATCAGTAGTTATGTGACTTCTGGAACTGATATCATGTGTGACATGCTAGGCGTCAAATAAAAGCTTGCCTTGGAAGTCGTAAGAATACCATTCAGCCGGTTTGGCACATTGACACCCCGATAAGCCAGTGCAATTTCTCTCGCTATGCTAACGTGATCGAAATCAGTAGCGGTTTCGTGGTTAAAGTGGGCTATCGGAGCAGTCTGCGATTGCGTTGTTTCAGTGTTACCGCCGCTTTCTTCGTGACAAGAAACAGAGAAGGAATTCGTTGTTGAAACCTGACTCTCCGACAACGGAATCGTCTGAGACGACGAAGGTATTGATAGTTGCTGAGATGTCAAAGGATTCTGCCATGGCATGAAGCAATATGGCTTTTGGCAGGCCTGTGGTTGGGCTCCCACATGAAAGCTCAAAGACGCATACGGTGGAATCGGGGATGGAGTTGGATGTGGTGACGCGACGACTGGGCTAAAGATATACGTGGCTTCGTTCTTGACCAACTGGTGAGCAGGATTGGGAAGGGGTACTGGTGCCAATCGTGGTGGTATTGGATGAAGCGGAGGCGGTGATGGTACATACTGGGCTGCTAAGCTACAGGCGTTCGAAGTCGCAGCTGTCGTGGAAATCGTCGATGTCCTAGGCGATCCGACGTTTGCGACAGCCTTGGCCTCAGAAGCAGAGGCCTCTGCCTGTCTTCGCGCTCGATTCGCCTCGATTAATCGTCGCTTGGCCAGTCGTTTATCATCATCCAATACCACTAAAATGTTGTTTAAAAGCCCTTAGTACATCAGTCTGAGCACGTTGATGTATAAAAAGGATTGAGTCGATGTTTCACTCCTCCTAAATTACTTTCACATGACATGATTACTTCACGAGGTCAGGCGCCCACAAACAAACTGGGACAATAATTTCGAGGTTTAATTCAATCCCCAAGGATCATTACCTAATTAGATCAAATGATCTGGGTGTCTGCCCCATGTGTTACAATATTTCATTTACTGATTCCGAAGACGATGCTCGTGTGTAGATGCTAGACTTGTGGTTCGACAGAGGCCACCTCTGGCATTCAGTGTCTTCCTTTAGTGAGTAGAAATAGCTAGTGTTGCATCAAGAGGAATGCTTGCAAAGAAGGTGGCTCGGAACTATTGGCAGTGAGGGTTCGCAGAGCGAGTTAATTGCTGCAAGAAATATCAGTTAGCTTGGTTACCAGTGACGGATGAGTGCACTATGGGAACCATTTCAAGATTACCGTCTTCTAGTCACTCCCCATCTACAGGAGCTTTCTGGATCTTGTGATCAAGATTTCCCGTGTGACATGAATGTGAACCCATTGATTGATTTGTGCTCATGTTTTTAGGTCTACGTACGCCCCAATTAGATTTACGCGAATTCAAATAAAACATGGGTATAAATGAATCGATGGACAGCTTACATTCCGTTGCCATGCCAGCTTTGAGGCATCGGTCAAATCGGCATTTCTGGCAACTATTCCGGTTCTGCTTATTGCCGACGAAACACTGGCCATTGAATTTGCATGTGTACTTCAGCTTTTTTTGCACTGAGCGACGGAAGAAGCCCTTGCATCCCTCACATGTCATGGCACGATAGTGGAAGCCCGTGGCGTTGTCTCCACAGACGACACATGGTTCAGGTCCTTTGGTGGGGTCCATGTAACTCGGAATGTACGGTTCTTCTGTGGTGAAAAAGCAAAAACCGCAACTAGTTATGGGGTAGCAATGTGCCGAGCTAGAAGCCTTGTTTGTGATAGCTAAGACCAGATCAGATGGAACCGAATTCGCAACCAAACGCGTAATCAGAATAAAATAGAACAAAAGATGCGAGTTCAGCCAAAAAAGTACAGATGCCACGTTTGTGAATTTTCCTTTTTTAAGTAAACAGCGCGTTAGTACTGCGTAGTCTATCTAAATGAGGTCATTTTCTAAAAGTGCCAGCATTTTGATCGGCAAACCGTCAGCTCTGTAATTTTAATTTACATTATGGAATGTTGAAAAACTAATATGCACAATCCCTAGAATTAGTGCATTGAGATCTTGTGATTTATTCGGAAATTTAATAGAGCAAGAATATCAAACACAAACACGAACACCCAGTCACCGCCAACACGATTGCTAACTAGTGTATCCTCGTTCCTCCTGATGCAGTCGTTTTTCAACAGTCGATCTTTTACATTCGAGCAGTCCCGGTGGCACTACACCCACAAATCCCCATGGCTCATTTCATCTGCTTGCAAAGATAGGTTGTATGAACTGTAGCAGAGGTTTAAAACAATGTCAATTAACTACTGCTTCCTCAGGTGGCTTCTAATGCCGTGCCGTAGCCCATGAAGTGACCTTTGCTGGGCAAGTGGGCCAGTAAATGAGAAAACATGAATAGAGAAATTCGTGAGGCTTAACAGAACAAGCGGGAGGTATTAGCCACCTGGAAATTAAGCTAATCTGATTGGTATGAGTTTCGAATCTTTCCACATCCCAGACATAGACCATCCATAACAGCTGATTATCGCGAAGTTGGATGCTAAAGCACATTCACTGTGTTGTTGCCAAGTCTACGAGTTCTGCGTAAATCTCAGGTCACGTGTGGGCCATTAAACGTTTCTGGAAGCGTGCGCGTGCGCGTGTGTGTGTGTTAGCGAGTTCGCGTGTTCGCGTTGTAGGGTAGGCGTTGAGGTCAGAGTGAATCATCAGCGGTTAAGTTAGGTCAGAGGTCGTCCGTTGGTGCCGCATGCGGGTTCGTTGGTCCGAGGGCTCCAGAGCTAGACTCTCTGGTCAAAAAATTTACCCTCGGAATCAGTGTAGACGCATGGCGAGATAGGAGAGGTGTGTATTTTTAGCAACAACGATACGCTGACAAGTGGTCTTAAATGAAGCGCACTAAAAATGTTTCTCATTCGCTAATCCGATCACACAAGCCTCTGATACAGGGTTCCCTTTTCGCAGCCTGTTGTCAGCAGCGCGGATCCTCAACTCCCCCTTCATTCGCACAAATATTTATCCTAGAGTATCTTCACACCTAGGTCTCGATGTTAGTGCATGTACGACTCATACATCTGAGGTATATATGAATACACACAAGTGTCACCCACGACACCAGTTTTGGTTGAGCCCTGAAGTAGACGGTTGTGTTTAAGTCCTCTGCGGTTTTTTTCACCGTGGGTATCAGGGAAGCGCAATCGGGCCTGAGTTAGTTAAGTGGCCCAGGCATGGGTGACCCTGACGTTGGACGAATATCGACCTTCTGGTGTATGAAATATCGACCTTCGTTCTACTGGCGTTTGGTGACCTATTGGTATGATTCCGTCTAGTAGCTTAGCGAGGGTTTATTTCCGGCCATAATCACTTTCGGATGACACCAAATCTCCGGATGCTGCTAAACTCTTTATGATGTCCTTCGACTCCGCTACAAACACTTCAGAGTGCCCCAGTTTCGATAAAGTTAGCAAAAAGTAAGGAGGAATAAATTAAATAAACTGGGCAAGATCTGCATAAAACACCACTTCCATGGTGATGCACCATAAATAACCTATTCTTGTAGCATGACTAGTAGGCTTCTAAAGAGGTGTCTTAATGGCGAAGTAAAGAACGGCAGGTTCGAAGTACTATTTACTTCGCCTACTCTTGTCCGACTTGTGTTTGTAACCACGAAGAAACATGCATAGCTTACAAGCCTATATCGGCTGAATTTGCAAAGCATTAGTGAGAGTCTGACAATTTAAGTCCTCTACTTATCCAGGTCATAAACTAGTGTTTTGTGCCTAATACCAAGAGCCAACGGTGTCAATAATTCCACTGTGGCAGCGGGATAGAGACATATTCCAGAACCTTAAACAAACACACCAAACTTACTTTTTCGTTGTCTCAGTGGGGTCGAATCTAGGCCAGCTTCACTTGAACTCCGCTTTGGCGTAGAGGATGTTGTCTGGATCAGTAGAGACGGCTGACCTGATGGGTGTCCAGAGAAAACTTGCGAGGTCGCAGGTGGAACAATCATTGGTGCGAACACTCCACGGTTCACACTGTGAGGTGACTGGTACAGTGCCGAAGCAGAGAATTGGCTGTTCCCCATTGACTGATCGCCATTGCCCGCTGGCAGGCAGTTGAGGCCGAATAAATTTGAATCCGTAATTCCGGGGAATTTGTCGAAACAAAAGTTGGCTGTGGGCGCGCACTGATGTGCGTTGTGTGCTGGTTGTGTCGGTAAAGTTGACTGACTAGAGGAATCATCGTGGTTCTTCTTTGCAAGCATATTTTCGAAGAGCTTGAGGCAAGACTGCGTCCGCTTTACAATACGAACTCTGCACCAACGAAGCACCCTTTTTATACTGGTGATTTTCGTGCGTCTATGTGAGCGCACGTTCGCTTCAACGCTTAAATCTGATTGGCCATGTGAGTGAGCGCAATGAACGAAATCACAAGGCGATTGGTCGAGCAGAATGCGATGATTCCGCTAAGGTCATGTGTCTGGTTTCGACTGTCTTTAATAAGCTGCAGCCCCAATATTCAATTTAACGACTGAAACATTCCAAACATGAAAACTCTAATCAAGAGAGCCTACGCCCTCGTGTTGCATTGGTCGCCTTGCACACAGTCATCCACTAGTGTAGTTTGCTCTAAACGGGGACAGGTATTGTCCGATTTCTGATGGCTGATGCCAAGAAGCTAAGTCGGTGTGTCCCACTACTCTGGAGAACTTGGTTTGAGCAACATGTTAGTCACACCAAAAAATTCAAAGCCTGTATACTTTTCGGAATGTGAGTGAACTTAAAAATGCCTCTAAAAGGAACATGACGTATTGTTGCCATCTGATGCAAGCTAGATGGTTCTACTTGGCGACGTCTGAGGCCCTTGTTCAAACTCAATCGCAACCCAAATTCCACAACCTAAAGCACAATATCATTAGTGACGTTGAGTTATAGGCTACATGAATGCCGTAACACACATTTTGTGGCGTCACGAGAAGTGTTGTCTCGATGATCGAAGCTGTGAAAGGCGAAATCTGTGTGCGGCTGGGGACAATCAAACCTCCTTATCCCTTTCTGGTCAGTAAACTCTAAGGAGAAGACCCAGAGATTGGTAGCTGATCTGTAGGCATTAGTAATGAATTGAGTTCATCTCTTTCGTATGGTGTGTGCGAAAGGGGTGAGCTATAGACATCTTAGCTCCCCAATCGGTCTAGCCACTGTCGCTGCAGGTGTGCAAGCACCGAAATCACGTGGACGTGTGCCCATCAGACACCAGTAGGCACACCGATCACCACATACGTTTAAATTCTCCTCGCGTTGATCTAGCAAATGCAAGATGGTTTCGTGATCGAGGTGGCTAGGCAAGTCCCTGTTTAATAGAATGCCAAAATTTAATGGACCGGCGTTGTCCTCATTGAAGCGTGTCCGAATGATTTCAATAACAGTTAATTATGTGGCTCCAATATCTCCACTTTGATTGATCAGATCAACTTCGCAGCTGCCTGTGTGATAATTACTTGAATCCTTGAATATAATTTGAGTACTATTTAGAATGGGCTTTCAGGAAAATGTGTAGTTAATCCGCCCGGATTGAGAATTTGATGGAGGCATTATGAAAAATATAAAAAAAATGCGGGACCAAATATTTACTCTTGTGATGGTGGGGTTATTTAAATCGGAATAGCCACACGCTCTCGCCTCTGCGTCGTTTATCGCCGATCGAAGTGCAGCGCGTGAGGTCACGTCAGAGATTCATTGATTTTTCTGAATCTGAGTTCTGCGCACGCAACCACGTGAGCACTGTGTGTGGCCGATACCGTGTCAACTCTACTCTCGACCATTTAACTGCTGGCTTCACAGTGCATAATTGGGAACGCGAGACACACACATTCAGAAGTCTTCCAAGATTAGCGGTTGTGTGTGCTTGTTTTGCAATTAGCTTTTATTCGGATTGTTAATTTAAAATGCGGTGTCAATTAATCACCAGATTTCGACATTTTTTGCAACCAACCAGACATGACGATTCTCTGATGCTCAGTACTATTTTTATCTGGCGTTCATTCGATAAATGCAGACAAACTGCCTGGTATTGCACAAGGGAACCAAGTAACCCAGGCTCATTGTAATTTTTCCCCAAATTTGCTACAGAGCACAGAATGCGCATAATTCCGCTTGAGATGACGATCAGGCGATGAAACCCGGGTGCCTTTATTGTGGAGAAGGTTCTTTGTGTAGTCTATTTGACCACTTCGATAGCAATTAAATAATGCTGAGACACCTGACTCAGTGCTGGGCTATTTGGTTCTAGAATATAATTCCTACAATGCCACCTGAAGCCTTGCGTTCTCATCACTCGCCACCAAAAACACGGAAGTCTGATTAACCATTCGCGCTCGGATTCCAGCGTCGTGAGGTCAAATTGAACGCCCCCGCACACACGCACGGCCGCACCACGCATCACAGTCAGCTGACCATGTTCGGTGTCTGAGGCTAACACGTCGGCCTGCGCCTGAAATCAGATTATAGGTCGTTTTGAGGTTATGCGCTTACACGCGGCACCCACCGCGCTTGTGTTGTGTAAGACCGCGATCACGACGGTTAAGGTCATGTAGCTGTGATTTGATACCAGATACGGGGGAAATGATAACAGACATTTCCACTTGTGTGGTTAATTTATGTAAAGCTTCATAA